GCATCAATCAGCCGTCAATCAAATATGATGATTTTTTTGCCAAATTTTTGTTGAATTTTTATTGAATTTTTATTGAATTGTCAATTTTTCATAAATCTGAAGTATCATATTTGAATATCGGGCAAATTTTAGGTTGATTTGCCATTTGTCCATTTTTTTTTTGATTTCAACTAGCATCAATCAGCCATTAATCAAATATGATGATTTTTTGCTGAATTTTTATCGAATTGTCTGATTGGCATCAATCAGATGTGCCGATTTATAAATTATAATGTTAGCCAATTTTGGTCTGATTTTTGGCCGATTTTCCATATGTCCGATTTTTTTGATTTCGACCAGTGAAAACATAGCGTGTACATGCTATGTTTTGTAGCGTGTACACGTTATATTTCACAGCGGGTTACCCTGTTCTGTCTGTTAACATGCAATTTCAGGGGTAACCTGTTGCAAAAAATAGCATTTAATACGCTATATTTCATAGCATCATATACGTTATATGTTATGACGGGTACCTATTATAAGAAACGGCAGGTACCCGTTATAAGAACTGGCAGTCAGCATATTAATAACTTTTGATAAACTAATTATTTATTTAATGAAATTTTATTTGCAAATATTAAATGTGTAACTTAAATTTTAATATTTTTACGATTTTAAAGAAATAAATCACCATATTTATTTTTATTGAAGTGTACAAATAAAAGAAACAATAACAATAAATAAAAAAGATAAGTAAATTACAATGATCAAGAAGAAAGATGCTAATAAAAAAAATGAAATAACAATGGAGTAATGGAAAGTAATAGAAGGTGAAAGGGAGTAAAAAAAGAGTAATGAGAAGTGATAGGAAACAAAAAGGAGAAATAGGACATAATGAGAGATGAAAAGAAGTGATGGGAGACGAAGAGGAGTGATGGGAGATAAAAAGAAGTGATGGAAGACGAAAAGAAGTGATGGAAGATGAAGAGGAGTGATGAGAGATAAAAAGGAGTGATGGGAGACAAAAAGAAGATGAAGAGGAACGATGGGAAATGAAAAGAAGTGATGGGAGACGAAAAGAAGCGATGGTAGATGAAAAGGAGTGATGGTAGACGAAGAGGAGTGATGGGAGACGAAAAGGAGTGATGGGAGATGAAAAGAAGTGATGGGAAGATGAAGAGGAGTAAAAATTTATTAAAATTGTAAATTTAAAAAAAAATTTTCCAATAAATTTTCAATCAATTTTTTATAAAAAAAAAGATCTCTAATGAAATTCTTTATTAAAAAAAATTTCAAGCCAAAATTCTCGATACACTTATTAAAAAAAAACTATTTTCAATAAAATTTTCTATAAACAAAATTCTCAATCAAAAAAAATATTCCCGATTAAAGAAAAATTCAAAGATTCTTACCACCTATTAAAAAAAATTCTCAAAAGAATTTCTATATCAAAAAAAAACTCCTCTCCTATTAAATACCGAAATTCTCTATCAAAAAAATCTCCCCTGTTAAAAAAATTTACATTAACGAAATGATCTATCAAAAACAAAATTTCACTTGTTAAAAAATTTTCTAACGAAATTATCTATCAAAAAAAAAACCTTCCCTATTAAAAAAATTCTTCAAATAATTTTCTACAAAAAAAAAAAATCTCAAATAATTCTCTATCAAAAAAATCTCCTGTTAAAAAAAAAATTGCTCCAACAAATTA